GATTAGTGGCGGGAATCTTTTATAACTGAGGATTACAGCTACACATTACTAAAGAAATATTTAAGGACTAAATGGATTTTTCCAGATGACCGTTAATATACACAAAAACAAGCAGAAAAGAGGTAGATGAAGTTGACACTATGATGAACTTTCACGTGTCAAAAACACAAATTTAAGGAAGAACGATTAGGGAACTGATAGAGTTTGTGGAGAAAATCGTTATTTTGCCTTCATTGATTTATTAAGATAATTTTAGAGCAGTTCTTTCCAATGGCGTTTCCTTGTGGTCAACATGAACTTATACGTGAAGAATCAGTTTTCACTGAAACTATGGCTATTTTTGTCGCGCTCAACCAACAGAACTAAATTTATACGTGAAATAAAAGACTCAGGAATGCAAGCAACGACCACGGTCAGTCTATTTTCATTGCACAGATATTTTGAAGCATTTCACTCCTTACAAGAAAATCACATACATAAACAGAAACCCTGAAAATAGACATGTAAGTTTGGTTTAATGTGGTTTCCTGAAAACTAATGAGGGAAGGCACAAGCTGTGAGATGACTTTACGTAACCGAGGCACGTGAAGCGTGGGAGCCGTGTGGGATGCCTTAATCAGAGAGAATAATTAATCCGATTTGACGAAAAATGGGACTGAATTTGAAAACAACATCTAGGAACAACAAGGACCCGAGAGGGCCATCTGAATTTTCTCTCGCAGAAGAATCTGTTATTATTCCACCGATCAGAGTTGGTAACTTATCATAAGGAACCGTGAAACACCTTTTGGACGAAAAAGAGTTAAGAATTCCACTATTTAAGTAGATTGAAAAAGTTGTGTGATTTGCAAAGACACATTATTTGACGTCGGTTTCTATCGACCGCCGGATTTCCCAGTGCCAGATGGTCCGGAGTATAACATTCCAGGGTTAAATGTTTTTCTGAATCAGCAGAGTATTAAATGGGTGTGGTTTTTGACACATTTGAACCAGAGAAACAGCCGGTAGGTCCATCTACGCGCAGTTCTGTCTGTAGCCTGAGGTGCAGCCGGCCCACGTATCGCGTATAGTACGGATATAGGTTTAAAGTGTCCTCGGCGCAGGCTATTCTGTCTGGTGCTTGTAAAGTTCCTAGCAATTCTTAAATTACCCTAAAGATTTATCTTTATTTGAGTTTTCATTTACTTTGTACTTCTTTTCTTAGTCTCCCATTTGACGTTCTCTTTGTGCTTTTGCACGTCGCCGAGTTTTAATAAAACAAGGTAATCGATAGAACAAATAATCATAAACCACAGTAGCCTGTTTCAGGCTCCGAGATGGTGGTGGAAAGTCGTTCAGTAATAAGAAATACGAAAAACGTGCGCGTCTTATTTTAGCTTTGCTCGTTTTAATATGTTCCCACTATACTATCTGAGAGCCTGGCACAGGCTAAAACCACAGGAAAACGGGGTGTCATTTTTGTATAAACCGTGGCGTTTTGCCATAAATCAAAGTTTCTGTGTTTTATATCTATTTTTCCCCTATAAAGAGTTTTGACATAAATAAACAGGGATGCCCCTCAGGATTCACATATTCGGCAAAGTGGCTTATGAGACGACAGCCTTTCTGAATTTACAATATGGCTATTTTAATGGCCCTATTGATCCACGTGCAGCTTTCTTCTTAAGAAAGAAGAACATTAGGAGAAGAACATCTCTTTTCTTTTTTAAGTCTTCGTCAAGATTGGTGATCTACAGGATCTGTTATTTCTTACACAGAATGTAGTACTACGCTGTTAAAAGTGTTGAGACAATACCATCCAGCGATCAAAACTAACGGCGTATCAGTGTTCTGATTAATCTCTGTGCGGACATAGCCTTCAGAGTATGTTCTGATAAAAGTCTGATAAAGGACTCGAAAGAAGTTTCGAGATGAAAACTTTAGACAGGGATTTGTACGTGAAATCTCAATTTAATAGTTTAAATTTTCTCGGTCAAAGCCTTATAGCGAGATAGAAAATTGGGAAAAAACTAATATCAAAAAGAGAGAAAGAGAAAGAGTCCAAGAATCGCTCACGCATTCTTGGACAGTACATGGTTTCTGCCGCGGGCATCATTCTGATCTCTCAAAAATGAAATTGTCTTGAGAGATTGCCTATATCCTGTTATGTAACGGAGGATGCAATAACCAAAATTTAAACTGAAGTGCTTTTGGGTCGGGTCTACCGCTGGGTTTGGTCGTCTGCTTGTGGAGTGACTAAACGAACTCCAGACGCTACGATCAATTTTAAATTTATCGTCTGCAAAGAAGCTTACACAGCAAATCTGAAGGATCTAGGTAGGAAATGGGTGGACACCCATTAAAACTCAATTATTCCAATTACGTGTTGCAAGCCACCTTTGCATGCAGTCACCCATAAAACTTTGTTGCATTAGATACTAACAGTCAATATTTTGCTTGGGATAACCTTTCTTCATGCATGTCAAGGAAACGTTCAGCCCAATCAAAAGGACATTTTTCAAATTCCCTGAACACCAGGATAGATCAAGAGGATTTAAATACAAAAATGAAAAATAAAAATAAATTTTTCAAAAGACGAATCTGCTGTAGTTTTATTACAAAGCGTGTTTTGAAGAGATATCATTATTTATCAGTAGTAGGATGTACGTATATGAGTTCCGGAGCTCCTGTTGGGCGTAAACAAATTCCATATATGAAGAAAAAGAATCATAAGTTTAAAATAAATTGTTTCGTCAGATGATATGATAATGAAGTAATAGATGTCGGGCATGAATCAGTCCCAAGCGCAATATTTGAATTTCGCCAAAGCTGTGTTTGTTAAACAAAACTAAACAAAATTTGGCTATAGACAAATCATTCGGCTCAATATCGTCAAGCATTTAATCCTAAAACGCCTTCTTTATCCGTTTTAGCTGAAGGTATGACACGATTAAAGTTAACATATCAGATGAAATTCTCATCGGTTTTTTTATATGGAAGTCCATATCTTTCTTGAAAACATCTTTACATTACGTCTGTGTAGAGCGGAAACAGACTTATGCAAAAATCCTGAAACTGACGTAACAAGTCAACAGTGTTTTAAGAAATCGGACAGGAAGTTTACAGATTTTGCGTCAAGCAGTCTACGAAAGACATACCAGCAATACTTTAAACTATATCACTCCATAGTTGAAAAACAATTAATTAGTGCACTACGCACATAAATCAGCTCACTTTGCTAAACTGAACCTCCGAGTCTCCGGTCGAAAGATCTTTTTCTTTTCTGTTTAATGATAGGGAATAAGGTAACGCAATAAGCACAGAGACGATTTTTAAGATCTTTCGAAACTCGTCTGATGTAGATGAAATCTTTTCAGTTAAATGGCAGGAACTGAACAATTCACTAATAATCAATCTCAGTTTTAAGGGCTTTTCATAACAAGACGAGGCTAATGTGATAACGTTCCCTTTATCTCTGTTTTCAAGGGCTGCAAACAAACTGTTTTGTTTCGTATCCCGGTTACCAATACAAATGAAAGCTCCTTAATCCATGAATGTAAAGAATACTAGGTTTATTTAATAAGCGACATGAAAAACTTGAAGTCAACTTTTAAGGAGATAGCAAGGTCCACTTTAACACTTGATTTGTTGTGAATTTGCTCAAATTATTTAACAGTTGAAAACTCCGTTTTCAAGTGATTAGTTTACACAAGAACAAAATCCAGGGAGCGACATTCTAGTTTCCACACACACGCTGAATAAGGGGGCATGTTTGCTTTACAAATTAAACAATGCTAATCTACGAACTTGTTGCTACCCTGAAGTAGTCTGTAGTTTATGTTCTGTATCTCAAAATATTATGCATTGATGCTTGTTTTAAGTACACTTGTACAATATATTGTGATGGTATTCATTTCAAAGGGTAGACAAAGAAGAAAACTTAATTCATTCCATCGAATCCAGGTCTCCCCTTTCGGTTACTTCGATGTAGGTCGAATGTTACGCGGGCCCACATGCTCTCTTGCATAAACGTTTTAACAACCCCTGCTGTTAACTTGACCATTTTTGTTTCTTTTATTCCTTGTTTTGATAAATTTTGAAATAACTACGCAGATTCCAAGCAAGTGACTGATCTTTCTTACAAGACGACAATTCACTGATTCAAGTACACTATCCGAATGGGTACCCCTATCGGAATTTAAAACACGGTAGTGTAACAACTCACAACTCTCTCGGCCTTCAGACGTGCGGTTGTGTTTTCATGTTTCTAAGCACAGAAGTAGATTTCCTTTGTGAAACACAGCGTTTGTCAGTTTCCGCTAAGTGGAGAGATTTGTCAATTTTAAATCGTAATCTCATAAGGTCAAATGTTAAAATTCCTACCTTTATATTTTCCAGCAGATGAAGGTTTTCTACCACCGATGGACGGACACAAAAAAGCCATTCTTACAGATCGCCTTTAAGCTTATTTGATCCTTAACTTTCACTGGAAGAATTCTTCATCTATAATGTTCTCGGTCTAATCCTCTGTGACATGTGGTTTTCTAATCAAACTTCCACTACCGTGAGCGCCTTTTACGCGGGATTGATAAAATTATATTATTCTTTTGTCCTGAAAGAGAGGAGAAAAACGTAAGACTTACATGTGATTACTTAGGATCAAAACGTGCTTCTGGCAGGTCGTTTGCAATCATAATAGGCCATAGCTAAGATAGTAAAAACAGTGCTAGTTTCTTCACAAAACACGCTGATCACGGTCATAACTACCACATAATCAAACAACGTGTAGGTGAGCTCTAAGCGAGCAAAAGAGGCTTAGAATCCAGGGAAAATATTGTTATAAACTTACTTATTTAGTGCACAGGACCAAGGTAATCTTGTCGTCGAGGTTAAATCGCGATGATTCAGCTAAACATTCAACGATCCCGCTAAGTGGTAATCTAATTTGCATCAAACCCTCACGTGCTTTTGTACACCAGAAGTGTGAAACTACTTCAGCTGGGGTTCAGATTACATGCACTTTATAAGCAGGAGGAGCTGCCGATATGTCCTTCGTTTCCGGTGAAAATGTCATAGCCATGAAAGATGGACATGAGATTGCTGGCTTTGACAGGTGGATAATCGGCTGGTGACCCAGAGAAGATATCCTAGACAATACCTGTCAGTACACAATGGGCTGTGAGTTGATATGTAACTTTATTACCTGTCGCGTCATTTGATAAGCGACTTGATCACTTGTCAATGGACCGCTGAAAAACGCGTAATCTCTTTCTGCAGTTTCTTTATATGTACCCGGGCGAAAGAGATGTAGAGACGTTCTAAGGTTTATTTTATTTCTTACAAAATTAAGAAGCCGAAGAATGTAAATTGAAAATCTCGTAATTAGATGGGTATGAGCTTTTGTTACAGCTAATAAAAGAGAAAAGCTTGAAACAACTTCTAGCCCACGTAGGAGGGTGGGCAGAAAAAGCGCACAGAATGCAATAATTCTCCCCTTTGAAAACAACACCTTCGACGCAGGCTAGATAAATTCTGCCAAAATGTAAAATTTCTATGGGTTTCTTTATTGTTACTTAAAAAAAAAATTGACCTTAAAACTGCAAAGGACCGCAAACGAATATGCCGCAAACGCAGGATCTATAAAACACCCGACACACTGAATTCTGCAAAGCTGATCGTACTACGTGAAAATTAATTTGCAAGACATCAACACGACACCGAAAGAACCAAAAACAGAGCTCTGTTTTTGGTTCTTTCGGTGTCGTGTTGACGTAGTACGATCAGCTTTGCAGAATTCAGTGTGTCTACTCATCATCTTAAAGAAGAGACCTACATGGAAGCATGCCGACGAAGGCAAGCGCTGGTTCTCTACCCTGCCAGTTCTCACGGAGTAAGGACTGGAAAGAGACTGTGGACCCCCGGGGGTGGGGGGTACTGCCATATGTGGGCTATATAGGTATGTGCCGCTGTGAAGGGTATGGTTTCAGAGCGTTTGGGTCTAGAATAGGGTATCATTTTTCAGGAAACTGATCAGTTGGTTGAAGATTTTATCTAGACTAGGGATTTTGGTATTAGGTTTTGTTTTGGCTAGACTGTGCTAGTAGCCTCAGTAGTTTCTAGAAAACAGCTACTCTAGGATGGGGGGGGGGGAGGGGGACTTGGGGAGTTAACTCTAGTACAGGGTAGCAAAATTCAGCTGAACTGTAGCTCTGGTATAGGTTAAGGTTTCCAGGGTCCAAGCGGCACATCCCCACCCAGAAATTCCTAAAGTACCCCCCCCCCGGTGTGGACCATAAAAAAGGAAAAGAAAAAAAATATATCAACAAAATATATGAGGGGAAAAGTACCCCCCCCCCCCGGTGTGGACCATAAAAAAGGAAAAGAAAAAAAATATATCAACAAAATATATGAGGGGTAAATTCGAGACTTTGCGAGAAAATTCGAGACAGAGACATTAGAAATTTCGAGACTCAGTTCCGAGAAGTAAAATCACCCGAGACTTATCACAAACGCGTCCGAGGTTTCGAGATCGGGCCAAACTTTTCGGAGGGGGAGGAAGATAGGAGACGTTCTTCAGTTTCCTTTTCGATCCTATGGATTGGCTTTTACCGGGTATTAAACCGTGGCAGGCCATATTTTCTTTCAACCTGACTAGAAATTTTCCCCGGGGGGTACTCCTTTATATAAGCTATATAGGTATGTGCTGCTCCATCGGGTACGGGTAGGGTTTTTCCGCCGTTTTGGTCTGAAAAGGGGTATACACTTTGCCCAATTTGGTCTGGAATCGGGTATGGTTTTCGAGGGGAACTACGGGAGTGCATGAAGGTATTTACAGGAGCCGGTATTTATCGTTTTAATTCCAAATGAGTAAGTAAGAAAGAGAAATATGCGAATTCGAAATAAATTTGAAGAATAATTTTGTTTGCACTCTAATCTAAGTATTGAAAGCATAATTTCTGCTTAAAGGCCAGGTCTGAAAACGGGTGTGGATTTTAGAGCTGTGGTCTGAAAACGGGTTTGGAAAATTACATGTTTTGGTCTGAGATAGGGTCAGGATTTGGAGAACCAGGCACCCCCACCCTCTCCCCAACTCGGTGCAACAAAGATAGGTTTTCTCCCGTTTTATTTTCGTATGCTAATCAGATTTATGTTTGCTCCATTTCATGTTGTGGGTCTCCAGGTTTGACTTAGCGATCATTGTCTCAATTAAGAAAACAGTATTCATTTTGGAATAATTAAGAACTCTAATGGAGGGTAATAAGATTTTGAACTGAGAGACACTAGCTAGAAATTTGCCACAGAGTCAGTTCAAGTGAAAGGACTGAGACTTGGCCACCGTTATTCACCTGAAGACTGGAAAGTGTAACCATTAATTTGTAAAGGTCAGAGAAAAGTCAGCACTTTCTTCTCAGTTTCCTTAAGTAAGTAAGTGAGAACTTTATTACAGCGTCAAGGTCGCTAGCATACAATGTACACTAATTGGGGACACCTAACTACAATTTGTCTTATAATCAATAAAATATGACATGTATGTCCACACTTAAAATAAGTTATTAGTCGTTACAGTCTCAGACCCTCAAAGCATTGGTTTAGCCGACAATTATACCCAGGCCTACATGTACAGAACCACTCTAAAATCGTTTCCTTGTTGCTCTAAAATCAGCATGGCACTGGAGGCTACATAGCATGTGAGCAAGGTCTTCACCTGGCTTCAGTTTTTCAAACAATGAATAGAGCTATGCCCCAGATAAATCACTATCCAGCAGATAAGTATTAGGGAAACCAATAATTATTGCACTATCCCCTGGTCTAGAGACTTATCCCGTGCATGCATTGTTATCCATCTTTTGAATAACTATGGGGCCTAGGGTATATCGTGAGAAGTCATGTGAGTTCTCATATGGCTCACTTTGCTTGCTCCCTTGGAGAGCCTGCTCACAGAATAGAGGTTGGACATACAAATGTAAAATTAAATAAATTAAGATGAAAGTTTCTAAGACACTATAGACTGTCAGCAGTGTCTTTTCTATTGGTCGAGGGGGTAAGCTGTTAAGGCAGCTTTGGGGAGACTGTAATTTTATTGTTTTCTGGCAATCATAAAGAACTGATAGCAGTTTGGGGATGCTAAAGAAAATGAAAACTACAATAAGCTATAAAACAAGCAGGTTGAATGATAAAAAATCAAGTAGAATCATAAAATTGAAGCCTTGATTAAGAACTTCACAAGTGTACTAAATTAAATTAAGTGTCAGACAATAGACAATGTTTCTTTTGGTTCTGTCGCAAATAAGCACTATGGAAACAGCAGGAGCTGAACTTGAGTCGCATCCACTTGAACAACTCTTGAAAGTTCTATACCATTTATATCGCATCAATCCTCTCTCAATGCTCTGATGTCATCTGGCATCGAATACAACCACTAGGTAGGGAAGTACGTGTTAAGGAGAATAGCTGTATGTATCTAACTTTAGTTAGTAACTAATGCTAATGACAAACATAAAAAATTAATAACGTACCGAATATAAAGGATATTACATGGCCGCGCAGAGATACGAAATTTTTCTCTTTGAGTGTTGAAAAATATTTCATGAGTGAGCGCAGCGAACGAGTGAAATATTTTTTTCAACACGAGAAGAGAAATTTCGTATCTCCAAGCGACCATGTAATATTCTATTTATTATATAAACACCAATGAAATGCCAAACCATTTTACTTAAAAAGTTTTTTGGTCTGAAAGGTGCAGTTTATTATGAAGCCATAGCAATGGTAATATTTTCACGTGGAGATAACATGTTATTTTCACATGTGAAGATAACAAGTTTTCACGCGAAAGCTCACTTGGTATTTCATTGGTGTTTATATAATAAATGAACTTTCTTTGCAAAAACTGCTGTTCAAATCGTGATCAACTAATAATCAATAAGAAGGGTCCAGTAACTAAAAGGTCTCAGGACAGAAGCAGATTCAAAGTACTTTCCATGAAAATTATCAATGCCCTTGAGGATTAGAGATGGTGTTCCAAAACTCATTAATAACTCATAAAGAAGAAACAAAAGAAATTAATGTTCAATGAGTATCTTTACATCTGATAAAGACACAGCTAAACTTTATGTCCAATTTTTAGACCAAAAAAATCCCCAATTCTACTACTCTGGCTTTTGAAAAATAGTTGTATTTACATGTATCGTGTGTGCAATTGATGTTTATGTGAAGTGTATTTTAATTGAACTATTTCTATTTTTATCTTATTTCATTTTATTTTAAACAATACATAATAGTAACAAATGGCAATAATTAATTTGAAGCCTTTCTACAAAGAAGATCTACATCTTCAAAAACAGTTTAGAAAACAAGTTATGACATATGACAATATGATTTTAAAAAGTTTATGCACGTTGATAATATTATTATTAATTTTATCAATAACATTTTTTGGAAGCAATATAATAATTTTATATCACAAAGACTACTTGGGGCAGGCCTAGCAAATGACTGAAAGGATGGATATGCATATATCTACTTTATTTCCTCTTTTGATTACCGTAAATGATCGATTGAGCACAGCCGCACTTATTTCATTATCCCTGTTATAGGTGCGGCCCTCTTATGAGAGTGGTGCTTATTTGAGAGCGGCATTTATTTCGACTATGGGTAAAACATTGAGGGGAATATAGAGAAAATTAAGTGAGGCGCATACTAGGTATGCACAATTTAGTATAAAATATGTACACCTCGGATTATTGTATGAACTCAGTTTCAAGAGTTTCCCTACATTAAAACTTTAGAACCCACGAGTGGGTCGAGGTCTTATTTCTCAAGCAATATGGTTTTGATATATCAAGCGCCGTATCAAAGGTGGGGTGTTAATTTGTAAAAACCCAAATTAGCGCCACAGAGCTAATTCAATAGCAACACTTATTAAATTATTTTCGCTAAAGGTGCGGTGCTTATTCAAGAGCGGCAGTTATTCAAGTAATGGCACTTAATCTATTATTTATGGTAATTTATCAATTTATCAATT